GATGTTATACCTTGCACATAATCAGCCCTGTACTTGTCCATAACTCATGCTTTTAATATTGCCTCTGCTTCTCTCTGCAATTCTGCCACGAATGGCACCTTCCAAAAATCACACTTAGATTTGGCACTTGCTTGGTCTGGTTGAAAATCTTCCTGCAGGATTTGTTGGCAGCTAAATCAGCTCTTGGGCTGCTGTGTCTTCCTTGACAAAGGACGGGTGTTTTCCTTCCTCCTTCTCCAGAGTGACACAGTTGCTGAGGGAACGCCGGTATCCGTGCCAGTGCTCAGGGGCTGTGTTTTTGGAATGAACCCTTCAGTGGTTGCTGCATTTAGCAGAGGGATAGATACTTCCCTCTGGAAGAGGTACAAATGCCAGGAAAAATGAGCCTCTGCCTCAGCTAGGTTGACTTGCAGGAGCTGTGTGCTGCCAGCGGGGCAGGTGACCTGAATGCTCAGCTGAGCTGCTGCCCAAGGTCCTCCTGAGATCAGGGTAAGAATTCAATCCTAAATTCTTACTTCTCACCTTTTTTCAGAAAACTTGCATGTAAATGATCACCAACCCATAGAAACAAAACAAGTCTCCACAGCCTGGTGAGACTGAGATATTTCCATTTATAGATGTGTGCTGTGGTTCCAGTATCAGTGCTGTTTGTGAGTCCAGCCCTGCTATTGTGCAATGATTTGCTGGTGAAGTGACTGGAGGGACCTCCAGCACTCCCTGAGCTTGAGAACAGCTTGTGCCTGCCTTAGCAGTCATCATTTCAGAAATGTTCACTTTATGCTGTTGTATTCTTGCATATGCTGGAGTCGTAACTCATTTACTTAAAATAGAGAGCTTCAGGAGTCATAATTAAACTGTGTGAGCTCTTCCTATCCTCTTTTAAGCAACCTTTCTCATCACCAACAGGCAGATGGAGTTTAAGTTGATCCCTCTTCTCCTGGAAGCAACAAGTTAAAATATTTGTACATGCAACTGAGTGTTTACAGCTACAGCACAGTAATTAAAACCTTACTGACACAGAGAGGAGTGCTTGGCAAGAATCCTTTTCAATAACTGGGTGTAAAAATTGTCACCTCGGGTTCATTTTCTTGGAGTGATTGTTTTACCAGTACCAGTGGAGCCTTCCCATTTCTGCATATCTGTTGGGAGCATCCTTGTTTGATAAACTTGAGAGCAGTTGCCATCTAGCCCAGGCCTTGGAGATTCTTTTCCTCTGGCATGGAGCACTCGAGGCAGACACCCTACATCCCAAAGACCCAGACCCCACACACGCTGAGACTGCTTCCACCACTGGGGCTTTGTGGTAGAAGGACAAGAGAGGAGGTGAAAAAAAAAAGCTGAAGGAGAATAACCTTGTTTGACTCCAGTAGCTGGCTTGGGAGCAGAAATTTCAGAAGGGGGGAGGAGCATTCAAACCAAAACCAAAGACAGCCTCCACACCCCTTCGTGCTGGCTCCCCTGTGTCTCTCAAGGAACTGGTGAGACATCCCCAGTGCCACAAAGATTCCTCAGACAAATCTGGCATTTATCAAATATAAAATTCTTCTGTGAGTTTGTTTTTTTTTTCTTTTATTTGCTTCTTAAGAGCCTTAGAAGATGCTTGCTATTTTAAGACTTCCTTCCATGACAAATAATTGTATATAAAATGTTAGGTTTTTCCTGGATGTCAACCCAGGTAGGAAAAGCTGCTCAAGAGGAAGCAGGTTTTGGTGCAGGGACTAATCTTTGGAAATGTGGTTCTCCTGGTTATTTTCTGTCCTTGTGTGGAGAAAAATCAAACCCATGATGTGCACAGCACATGTCAGGGTGTGTGGCACAGAAATCAGGTACCAGGTTGTCTCTCAAGCCAGTTTAAATACAGCTCGCACTGAAATGGCTGCAAGAATCTTCCTGCTAAAAATACATCAACATCATTTCATTTAAAGTGCATTCACTTCAGCAGTCGGTTTGGATTGTGGAGATTCCTGGCACATTCCTGAGGGAAAGGCGTTGATGGAACATGGGTTTTCTCCCTACTGCAGTCTCTTGATGGTGGTTTTTTGTTTGTTAAAGCAAATGTTCCTCTAATGCCTTCATGTTCATACCTCAAGCCACTGAGTGTGCCATTTTCTAGAGAATACTCTCATTTTGTTACTGTAAATCATATTTTGCTATTGAAAATTTTATGGCTATTTTTTTTCTTTTTTTAAACTGGAAACAAGGATTTAAGTTCCATTACTCAGCTATACCTTACCAGCCTTTTTCCTCATGCTGAGGAGACAACCATAGCTGTAATCGTGGTTGTGTTCTTGCTTAAATGATTTCTTTGCAGCCTCTGCTGTTTTGAAGACCAGTGTGGTCACTTTGCCTGCATGTGATCCCACATTTCATCCTTGGTGTGGTTGTACTGGTCATATCAAAATCAGCTTTGCAGATTTCCTAGAGCTGATGTGCAGCTGTGATTAGCTGCAGCTCATTATCCAGAGCAAACAGCTCGTTAGCGTTCAGTGGAGAGCTTCTAAAGGAGACAAAGATACACCAAAAGTGAGTGAAGAAACCCCTTACTCGGCTTTACTGAGATGCTGCGAGTGTCGCCTGCCCGTGTTCATTCCTCCTGCTCTCCTCTGGGGAGGATGCATTTGTTCTCCTTCCACTGAGGTCCCTGGCTGGAAGTGGCTCCTGCTGCCTGCGTGGGGTTCCCGATCCTCACCGCTCCTGTGGGGCAGTAACGAGTGAGTGACGGCTGCTGGCAGCAGCGAACTTCACTTTCCTTCTGTGCTTTCAGTCTTCATTGAATTTCCTCATTATGCTTGCAGGAAAGAGACTCCAGCACTGTTACCTTTGGCTGTTTCTCCTCCAGCACTGTGAGAGATGGTGCCTGCCCTGCCCTGCAGCGAGCAGGGAGTGCCCCATTTCCCAGGGACACGGAGGGAACCTGCTCTCCATGGCCACTTGGCCCCTCCATGGGCACACAGGTGGCAGGAGGGGCAGTGGCTGCACTGCTCAGCCCTGCAGGCCTTGTAGGGCATCACTGTTCCCTTCCCTCTGCCCAGGGGGGCTCATGCAAGGTCAGAGGGCAAAGCAGCTGAGCTGCTCCAGCCCAACAACTCAAAACCCACCTGGCACAGATGATTCAAGGCTTGGGGGTTTTTTAAGGCCTCCTGTACAAGAGGTTTTTTAAGATGTGATCCTTAAATTTGATGTTGCCCTGAGTGTGTTTGAAGTGTGAGATTCACACTCCTGACAAAGGAAAGGGGTGTTGGAACTTGGCATTTATAAGGAAAGCCAGGTATATTAAGTGTACATTGACAAATAAGGACTAAAATACAATGATTTATTGCCAAACCTATTTGGCAGCCTCTTTCAAGTTTAGGCTTGTTGGTCATCAGATACTTGTACATATTAGCATAAGATGAAATAACACATGATTGGCTTTGACAGTTCTTAATTAGCTGATTGCAGGATTTCTCTGCTTTTATTTTTGTTGAAGGCACAGTTCTGTTCATGGGCTCCTCCTGGAGCTGCTGCAAACATCCCTGTGGAGCTTTTCAAGAGGAGCAGTGACTGCAACATCCCGTTGTCTTCCTGGGGCATGTCTGAGCCATGTCAGCAGCAGCAGCTCAGCTTTTCCCTTTGCAGGGGCTGATTTGGGGCTGATTTGTTTCCAGGGGGTGGAAACACCAGGGCTCCATTATCAGCTGGTGCAATGAACTGATTCCCTGGCAGCCCCTCCTGTCCCTGGAGCTCTGCAGCAGTGCACTGGGTCTGCTGAAGTTTCAAGCACTCTGTGATTCATTCCTCCAGAGAAACTCGATCACCTCAGGATTTTCTGATCCAGACAAGTGCAGACAGCTCGGGAAGATCGTGTACCAAGCCATGGGAGGGATGCTCCCCAAAGCGTTCCCACTTCCTCTGAGGCAGCCGTGCCACGGCAGGCGTGGGTAAGCAGCAGGATTGTTTCTGCTGGATGATCTCAAAGCCCTCCCAACTGTCTGCTGCAAACACTCACCCATTGCAAGGAAATGACTGTTTGTTTGTGTTAGGAGTCAGGAATGGGAAATGACGTGAACACTTGACTGTTTTTCCTGGTGTTTCTAAGAGGTATATTCGGTGTCTCGGGTCTTATTTCCAAAGGTGTTCAGTGTTTTCTGAAACTGTAGTATGTAAGTACCAGAGGTTTGTGCATGGACATGAATATACATAAAATCAGGAAATATCTTCAAAATCTTGTGTATCCACCTGGTAACATTTTACTGGTGCCCTGCTGTAACATAATTTGATATGTTCTCCCTCAGTGCTGAACTGAAACAGTCCCCAGGTCTTGTTTTCATAACTGGGATAAATCTGTGATTCTGCAGTGTGCTGCAACCTCCCTGAAGGAGAAAGAAGTCAGAATTCACACTTGTCATCCTTATTTCACCCAAGCACCAGTTTTATCTACATCTGCTGAATTACTCTGTGCATTTAATATTTTTTTTCCTGCGCTTTTTTGATCAGCTTGGGCACAGGAAAACGTTCAGCCAGGCTGTTGGGTGCTAAGATAAAGTACCACGTGGCACTTTTATCTCCCCAACTTCTGCTCCACTCCCTCACCTTTCCCCAGGCAGCAGCAGGTTAAACCACCTGGAGAAAATCAGAATCCAGTGTAGGTACTGAGGAACAGTGAAGCTACAAGAAGAGAGCCCTGCAGAGGCAGGAAAACACTGACCCAGCCATGAGCTCAGTGTTGGAGGGCAGTGCTGCACCTGCAGCAGGCTCTGGCATCCGGCCTTCTAAACCAGCTGGGAACCTTTTTTGGTTTTTTTCCTTAGTCAATGTTTGACTTTATCATCTGATGCTGATTGATCTATGACACAATCCCAGCTCTTCTGAGAATCAAACTGGAGTAGCATTGTATAAGAAAAAACAGTGGTTAACAACTTTTTCAACTTCTCTTTGTTTTTTTTTCATAAACACTTTTTTGCACGGTTTCTTTGTATTTCTATGCATAAGCAGAAAAGTGACCCAAAACATGCAGGGGGAAAGGTTTGATTTCCAAACTTTATTATTCATATCAGAGCATACTCTATAGACTTCTTACAAACAAAGATTTGTCTGTATGAATCCAATGCAGTAATAGCTGCCCTTTTAGAATTAACATCTCGACAATGAAATGTCAAATAAAGGGAAATACTTGTTGTATGAAACAAGATTAATGTTCACCTCAAATATGAAACTGGCATTTAAGTAGGAGTTTCTGATAGAAAACAAGTTCCTGTGGTAGCTGTGGGGGGGAGGGATGTAGAGAAATGCCTTTGCTGTTTCACTTAGTTTGGTCTCTAAAATAGAGAAAATTATTAATTTTGTATTAGTATGAGTTCAGCTTCCATTAATGCCACTTCCATGCATCCCTAAGAAATGAAGAATCTGATTACAGAACTTGGTTTTATTGTCTAGTAACTGTGGTACAAAATGACTGTTGCAAGAAATTATTTCCCCAGGTAAGAAAATGAGCACTCAACGACATATTGGTAATGATGAAGTAAGAAATTTGAGAATTACTTCTTCACCTAAAATTCATGGTTTATTTCAGTTCCACTGATGGAATTTTTCATTTTCTTCAATGATCAGTCACGACTCTCACCCCTTGGCATGTATATACAGAAGTGTTATGTGCCAGCCTCAGCAGGTACAACCACAAACCAAATGAGCGTTTTTACAGGAGACAGTTTGCTTTTATAGTGATCACGCACTGATGTGAACATAGACTAAAAATAACAAATGTTGTTTTAATAAGGATTTTTTACAGTAGGCATAGATATAAAAGTTTTTTCAAATTATTTTCACAGGTATCACTGAACATTTCATAGCTGTCTGTTACAGAAGCACCGCCAAGTGCTTTGAGTCTTTCATTTATTATACACAGTTAAAATATATTACACTTCTGAAGGTATCTTAAATCACTGAACAGTTTTGCTAGCATCTTAATGAGCCAAATGGGAGTAAAAGGCAGTCCACATTCATGATGTGAATATACAGTAAGGTGTTTGACATCCTATGAACTCATTGCTCATGTTCTCAAAATAACCATGGTGATGAGACCTGAAAGACAAGAATTAAGAACTAAATACTTCTATTTCACTCAAAATAAAACATTTAAAATAAAGAGTTTACCCTGTCACAGGCCAGAAAATATGGTAGAAGTACACAAATGCATGCAGAATGCATTTATGTACACACTTAAATATTAGAAGTATTGCTCCAAATTTTGACATAGTCAAAAATCAATGCTGACATGTGGTGCATCTAATAACTGAATGTCAAAGAAGGTAGAAATACTCCAAACAATTATTGCCTCCTCTGCTGGAAAATCTTAACATTGAACTTTTGACTGGGGTAACTGTAACAGCAAACCCCATTCCTCATGGGGGCCAGTTATGGGCAGTGTCATCCAAATGCTGAATCATCAGTAAGGCAGATCAGTTGAAGGCTCCAAGGCTTTTTTCTGCTCTGTGAATAATAACTGATCAAAGACCAGTTCCAACAAAGATGTTAAGCTTCCTTGTCAGTTTGCAGAGGGAGCTTTCAACAGACTCTTTGTTGTGACCTTTAGAGAGGGAGGAAAAAAAAGGCAGCTCTGATAGAGGTTAAAAACTATTAAAAGCAGATGAAAACAGGAAATAGGGGCTAATAAACCTACCCATGAAACACTGAAAAGTTCATTTTAATTATATGCTGATACAGGAAAAAGTACAAATCTGCAGTTTTTAGCCATGGGTTATATTGCACAAGGTGAGGTAGGTGGAAGAACACAGGGGCTCCCTGAATTCCAGCCTTATGTAACATCAAAATAACAATTTATCAGTTCTTGAGCAATCTCACTTTCTTGCAGGCTCAGATGATGTCACTATAACAGCTTTTCACTGCAGAAAGCTCAGCTAAAACCTACAGATCTCACCATGGATAAAGACATTTCTGAGACTGTTTTATCTCCTGCCACTCCATACTGATGGAACTCTGCTACTTTATGAAAATGGTGAGGGCAGAAGCACTGTCTTCCATTAGATCAGCCATTTATCCCTTAAAGAGGAACTACAGCTCAGCTATTTCTTAAGGTCTGTACTGGTTCAGACAATCAGTGCTCCCACAGCTGCTGGATCCTCAGCTTGGATCAATTCCATCACCTCAGAGGAACAGCAGAGGCTTCTGCAGAACAGCCTGCACCACTTGTACAGGGACGTGAGACAATAAAGGGTTTAACTCATTTCTGTAAATCAGATCCTTCTCAAATATCATAGAGTCCTGTTTGTGTGGTATAACAACCCTTTCCAATTAAATGCTCCACAATCCAGCTGTCCTTCCCTGTGGAACAAAGTGGTTTCAACTTCTCAAGAGCAATTGACTTTCTACATGAGCAAGAGCTGCACACAAAAGAATCTGTCCATGAACACTAAAAGCACTGCCAGCAAAGAAGTCAAAACCTCTCAAAACTTCATAGGGAATCTACAAACAGGTTCAGCTCTTGCAAATGTATAAAGTCAAAAGGCTTAAAACTGTAGCTGACACCAGCAGAACCTGGAGTAATTTTCAAAAGCAGAAATAAAAACCAAGTGAGGAGTACTGCAAGGTCCTGATCTGAGAATCCATCAGCATCAGCCTGGGCAAAGAGCCACAAGTGAGATTTCAAACCACTTCAGCAGATGGACCTTTGTGAGTCAGCAGAGTGTGCATGAACCATCAGAACTTGCACCTTTCCCCATCACTACCTCACCTCTAGCTATCAGTTTGGAGCTGCCTAGCTCTTTTCCTTTAAATCCTCATTTCTGCCAGGTAGTGGGAGAGGAGAACTGAGCTTAGTGTGACTGCTCTTCAAATCTGAAACAGTTATAGAGAAATAGTCATAACAAATGAAATGTGCAACTCATCTATGCTGGCTAATGCAGGAGCAGGTTACAAATCAGGAAGAACTGGGCATGGTAGTGGTCTCAGACAGGGTTTACAACAACTTACTGCTACACATATCAACTCCTGATTAAACAGGCACTGAGAATCAAGCCCTGAAAAACAGCTCAGGGGGCTAGAGAGAAACACAATGACACATTCTACATTCTGCAAGAGATTAACTATTGCAATGCAAGGGTAAGAAACAGCACATTCCATTCAGGTGTGTTGGCAGATGACTGTTACTGGCCCATCATCAAATAAAGCTGAAATTAGCATGTAGGGGCCTGTGTGCAATAGGTATCAACTCAAATCTGGTCTAAAACACAATAACTAACTTACCCTGCTATCACCATGGCTACAAATTAAGATGTAAGCTGAGATGCAAAACAAAACCTAACGTGGTGCTTTGTTTCCATCCAGTTTCCCAAGGCCACTGGCACAGACAGGTAGAGTTTTCCAAACTCATAGATTTTGCAGGGAAATGTTTCTAAAATCCAAAGTACTCACCTAAAACATAAGCAGCTACTAACTTTTGATTCACACTTAAGTGGAGGTAGAGAGGCACCAGGGATTCCATTTCCCCCAATGTAGGTAGCATTAGTGCTGCAACACACACCACTCCAAGGAAGACTGTGAGTAAACTAGGTCCCGACGAGGCAGTTCTGTTTTCTGAAAAGCAAAAAAGCACCAATTGTAAGGAAGATCTAAATAATATAAACATTAAATATTCTGCAAAAATGTCTGCAGTACATGGGAGCTGAAATATCCTCAGATTTTCCTTTTTGCTCTGCAGTTTGCAGGGGGTGGAAGCCAAGTCTTAAACCCACCCTTCTAAACCTTCTGCATTCTGCAGTGGAGGAGGCTGCTCCCTGTTCTGATGCTGGAACTTGTTTTCACATGACTTCCCAAACCACTCCCTTCTGGAGGAACAGAGCCTGCCAGGCCCAGTTGCTATATATACACACTCAGGACAGCTGGATGTCTCAGCTATGCTTGAGGTTTCCCTGTGCATCCTGACTCCATTCCTTGATATGTTCCTTCAGTGATCAGTAATCCATCAATCTGAGCACCCAGAAGACCTGCACAGGCAGAAAAGCTCACACCTCCTGAACAAAACCTGCCTGCAGCAGGAGCACAGGTTCCTGGGCCAGATGAGCTCCCCTTCATTCTTTACAGGGTTCAGGGGCTGTACCTGAGCCAGTCAGTTTAGAGGCCACAAATCAGTAAAATTTGAATCTTACTTTAAAAACTGTGAGAGTGCACCACTCTGACAGTCCAGTATTATCAGAATAAGAAAATGCAAACCACAGACAATAAAGAGTCCTTCACAGTCTTTATTGTCCTGCACTTTAACAGCTGGAACCTACTCAAAGGCCCACTGTGTCATCTTTGAAAAGAGCTGTTAACATGTTAGCTGAATACCTCCAACCAAATCCTTAAGACCCACTGGAAAACAGCCAATGTTTTTACCAACTTCTCCTATTCTCAGTGACTAGCAATATGTGCTCTATTTTAATGCCATAAATCTTATTTCCAGGTTGCAAAACTGCAGTTTCTTTGTTTACTGCTTCTTTTTTCACTACAACATACCACAGTCAATGAGGTTTTTAAGCAGAGAAACAGCATTTGGAGTAAGACCAGTATCAGATTGTTCAGGATGGCTCAGGCCCTCTGTCCTGGATCATCTATCACAGGAACATTTTGTTCTGTGAGCCCAGAGACCTTTGTAGGTTTGCTTTAACTGTGTATCCTACTAATATCTATTATGAGGGCTTTTTTTAAATTAAAAGTGTTTCACCAGCCAACAAACTCAGTATAAATAGTGAAACATTCATTTTAACAACATGAATACCCTCAAGGAGGTTCATCTATTTTCTGGAATTGGTTTTTGTTGTCCTGAAAAATATAACAGTGATAACAACATTTCAGTATGAATCAGTAAAAGCAAGAAGAATGTAGACAATCAAGAATCAGTTCAGATTCATTTGAGGTACAACTTGACACTTTATATCCTATCCCTTCCATTTAACTGTCTGGCCCAGGTTTTCAAGACTGTTGATTCACTTCCTCAGTGTGTGTATGAAACACGCAGAGTTTTCAGCCACCAACTGTGCTCTTCTGTTCTTGTGGGACAGACAAAGGACAGGGCACAGAACAAGGAGCACTTTAGAAGATGTTCTGGCAATATTTCCTGCTCATCAGGAAATGGGGGATTAAGGGTTTGGAACAAACTCACAAGGGGCATATGTTTTGAAAGAGCCCAAGGGAAAAAGTAACTAGTATCCTTTCCCAGATAAATTCCCATTGTCTGTATGAGAACTCCTGCTCCAGAGGAACAGTGGATGCACTCTCCAAGGTATGACACACAAACACAGGGCAGCAAAGGGCCTTGATCAAGACAGCATAAACAGAATAGTCAGAATGGGTTCCTGAATACTGTCATCCTCAAGTGAAAAAGACAGCAGTCCTACAGGTAAGAAAAATGAATTATTTTTAAAAATTATTTTAAAATGTATTTCTTTTTAATTTAGAAAATGTTTTTGAGTCTAGTCACTTGAGCTATTCAAAACTGATACAGAACATAGGAGAGGAAAAAGATTTCAGTTACCTGGTTGACACAAAGTCTGCTCAAAAAAGACACTTTCAGCCAGGTGTTCTTTTATTCGCTTTTCCTCCTCTTCCTTTTGTTGTTGTTGTTCCTTTGCAGATGGAAGCAGAGTAGCAATAATCTCCTTTTTCCCCAATGCTTTCCTCTGGCTCTGCTCAGACACTTGGAGTCGGAATTTATCTATGACACCATAGTAAGAGGCCCGAACGTCTCTGTGACGAATCACACTGCAGAAAAACAACATTTTCAAACAGATGAGCTGCTAACAAGCAGGCCTGTGGTGGAATTACATCTTATATCACAAAGTCTGCCCTCTGTCCCCCCTCTTCCAGATAAACTGGAATAATCCAGACCTCCATTACCTCCTCCACCACTCAATGTTCTTGAATACCTGATCTTACCTCCTCTCTCCCCTCCCTATGCTTGCTTTAATTCCCAAATATAAATGCTCCTGGCCAAACAGGACAGTTAATTCTTTATCCCAAGCACATCTTTGCCTCAATCTGAGGCCCTGCTGCCAATTGATGAAACATCAATGATCTGAAAGATGTCCCCTCCTCCTGTATCAAAGTTGTTTGATGCTGGCCAGTGATTTTAAAAGGATTGAGGGGACTGGAGTGGCCAGGGAAGGAAAGGAGTTGGGCAGGTGTTTGGCAAGAACAGTCCAGCTTCTGGAGGAAACCAGGCTCAAAGCTTTGCAATTCTACTTTCTCAGAAGCAAAACTCATTCCCTCTATAGACAAGAGTCAGCTAGGGATTTTCAAAATCAGAAACCCACCACTGAGAGCATGTTTGGAACCTATAAAAAGCACAGCTTTAAAATAGCACTGATCAACAGCAAAACAGACCTCTGAGCAGTGCTGTGCTCAACTGCCTCCTCTCTGCATTTGTGATTCATCATGAGAATACATATCTAGCATTGAAAAGCTACAGCACTTGGGTTTTGAATTGTTATCAGCTCTTAGGGTAAATAAGGTTTTCAACTATTTTTCCAGATGTTTTTTGTTAAAGGTTATTCTAAGTTTCCAAGATAACAGCAGCTGATCTGAAGAACACACATACAAAGAAGAAAGTTGTCATCTCATGAGGGAGGAAAAAATGACTGTACCCTTAGAAACACAGAATAGGAGTCTTAAAATTCTTCAAGAAACCAATCTTTGTGATACTATATACATTAAAATGCTGCAAGAAATAGATTTTTGTTTTTCAGTCCTTATTGAAAGGAACTATATCACATCAAGATATCTACAAGCATTAGCACGTAGCCAGTGCTTGCAACTGGTATCTGGTTTGAATGGACTATTCAACACAGAAACAGAGACCAAGTCATCCCCTCAGCAAGAGGCTGCAGTGATGTTTTACGTCACTTCAGAGGCAAAGCAGAGTGCCTGTGACAGCCTTCCAGCAAGTGGAGTGTTGGCTGGGCAACTGCCTTCACTAAAACAAAAGGCTTTTTGCCCCCACAACCCTAATTCATCCAGCTCTCAGCATATCAGTACAGCAGATCAACTCTGATTTCTTCCTTTAACACTTCCTTTTAAACTGGTGTTCCTGCTCCTAGTGCCATGGTACCAGCTACCAACCTAAACAGAATCTTTACATAACACTGTGCTAGGAGAACATGTATCTGCTGCCAAGCAAGGAGATATTTTCTGCAGACCCTTATAAACAGATACATTCTCCTGTTTCTTTTTAGAGATCATTGCATAATTGGAAGCTCTGTAGAATATCTGTTTATCTGGCAAATGGCCACACTTGCATAGTACTGCTCATATCCTAGCAGTAAACACTGTCCTTCAACAGCAACCACTGGGGTGGGATGGGGGGTTTTGCTGCACAGAAAAATCCCCTTGGAACATGTGTCTGTCTTATTTTCCTTTATTTAATAAAACACATTTGTTTAACCAAATGTAATCAAGCTTGTGTAAATGTCTTCTAAAGAATGGAATAGCTCACTGGTACACTGGTATAGTCTGACCTGTTTAGTTCCATTTTTAGCATTGTTGCCCCTGCTTACTGAAACCTTGCAGTTCCATGTTCTAAGCTTCTTTTCTATTTCATGAGTCCTTGGAATTTTTTAAATTGCACCTAAGGAAAACAGTCTATAGGAATAAAGAGCCATTCCCCAAGAACAGTTATTATTTATCTGACAAAGGGTTTCTGTATATGGCCATTTGTTAGACAGAGAGTCCAGGTGGTCTTTTACAGCTTGGAAAATGTCTATTCAAAAAGTTCAGTCTGCTCTTTTAGGTACTTCAGATTTTCTTCAGCTGTATATTATTTATATTCTATTTGCCACAGAAATAATGTGGCAAATAGAAGATAAAAAGAGTTGTTCTATTTTAGCTTTTACACCTACTCTGCTTCAGCTTTCGGCAGCCTACAGACCCTGTACATTACTGTGGTCACTTAGGCAGCCTCCTTCTGTTCTGAGTTACTGGGCTAAGATCTGACAGGAGAGACAAAGGGCAGGCACAGAGATCTGAGGATGGGTGATCTGAGGGTGAAAGATAGGCAAAACTACCTTTATTTACATGGCCCAGGAAAATGTGCTCAGTAGAACTGCATACATTTCCATTTTGCCAATCTGCAAACAAATATTTCTCACAAACAAATCTCAACCCTGGGGGTTTTGCTTTTCTTGTTATTTCTAACAAAAAGGTGCTCAGAGAAGGCTCATATTACTCTCGTTCCTGGTTTACAAACTGGTTTACAAACATTACAAGATGCATTTACTGGCATTTTATTTATGCCCAAAGGCAAAATTAAAGAAAGAAATATCTCCAGTATTGTAATACCTCTGCTCTAGAGGGACAGAACAGCAAAAATCAGAACCACAAGTATATACAGGAGATTAGGAAAACATATATTTATCCAACTTATGTATTATAACATGCATGCTGTCATTTACAACCTCTTAAATAACAAAGGAAATTAAGGTAATAAAATGTTGTATATTAGGAAAAAACCCAACCAACTTCTACTTACATATCAACACAGCACTGAGGCTTCACTGCACCAGTAGCATCCACCACCGCATATTTATTTGGAGTTGTACAAAGAACTGCAAGGAAAAGGACAGGAGTGGTAACAAATCATGAACTAATACATCACCAGTTCATCAACAGATACATGTAGAGAGACGAGTTTGGTTTTGTCACAGATATGATTTTTACATGAATTATAATTGGACTGTTCAAGATCATCAACTAGCCCTTAAATAGAACTTAACCTAAGAAACCCACCTTTGAATTTTAAGGCAAACTCATAGGGGTTATATAGAGTCAACACCTGCTTGTGTGTTGACTGGTCATCTGCATAAAATATAAGTTCTGTAGGAAAAACAAAAACAGGAAGATTTCCTTCCACTAACTCTGGCTGTCTTTTTTGTTGCTGCATTGGCACTGAATCCTCCTTGCTGCTTCTTGTGTTCTTATGCTTTTGTATCCTCAGAGACTTCAGCTTTTGAATCGTTTAAGAATTCCAAAGCATTTTGGCAATTCTAAAGGAAAAAAAGGGGAAAAAAAGAGAAAAGGCAAGAAGATTATTTCCATAAGTCTATACTAAACTGAGGCAGTTAACAAAGGTGCAAAAATATAAAATACGATGCTTGATTATGAATCTACCTCTACTTATGTTCCTTCAAAAATACTGAAATAGAAAAAAATATTTGCACTGAGCTTCCATCTATTCAACAAATTGCTACAAAATAAATGGATAAGCACCTGTGCAGTATATCATGACTAGGGCTGCTTATGCTGGGTCTTTGCAACACAAACCAAGCAATGACAGCAGAAAGAAATCCCATCCTTGCCTCAGGACAGCAACACATCAGAAACACGAGGGCAGAAATGAGGAAATGCAAGGACACTGAGGCAGCAGGAGTCACTGTTTGGGCAGGAACCTTTCTGTGGGGATGACCTCCCTGGATGAGGTTTAACAAGTTAGGAATCTCCTCACCTAGGCACCCAGGCACGTCAAATCCCAGGGATTCAGAACAATGGAATGGGGAACGCCTTCATGTCTTGTTTAAATCAAACTCCCTGTTCCAACTGCATAGTTACAGGTCATGAATGGAAAAATGACTGGGATGAGTAACAGCAAACAGATTTGGGATTCACTGTTTTATTAAGAGATGACAGGTTTTCTACCACCACTACCTCTAACCAAAGTACAATCATCACAATTCTCCCTCTGCCACCCCCCACAGTTCTGTTTTATTTTGAGTGACATTCCAGAACTAAAACCAGAACCAATGACCCAACCAAGAAACAATCCCAAATGTAATTCATAAAATAAAGGCCAGACTCCTCAGCACACATACCATTGACTCAACACATGACAGAGAGAACAAAGTCTTTCTCCTCCCATGAAGAAGGTCACATTTTACTGCAGCTTCTATAGATTAATTATCAAACTGAAGGTGTCCTTTGAGGTCTAACTTTATAGCAAAAAGTATTGAAACAACAAAAAGTTCCTACTGACTCATTAGATGTCATTTCCACTTCCCATAGAGCTTTTTAGAATAAGGTACATTTTACCTGTTCTCCAGCTCAATACACTGGATAGTTGCACCTTAAAGAATTTAGCTTCTGACATTTCTAGCAGCAAATAGCCCAAACACTATGAACAATCAAAAACAAACACTCGTTTCCACATTTTAAACATCACAACGATCACATTTGCAGGCACCAGATACATATTCCATACTTGAAACATGACACACATTCATGTGTTTACAAAAGTCTATCTGTCATACCATCAGGTTTACAGATTCTGATTGTTATTCACAAACTAAGCTTTTAATTTTATTTATTTAGGTATTAAAATAGCAAATTATCCCTGTAGAATTCAAGTTCATGGATCTCACTGGAATGTCTTTCCCCATGATCCAGTTCCTTTTCAGAGCACAGGTTTGTTTCCACTTCACTGAAATGCTACTAATAATATTCTGAAAACAAATCCCCAATGACAGTGTTCCAAGCTGATGTTCTGTTACCTTATTAAGAAGAGTCTAGAAAAAGAAATGGCTCCCTAAGTGGCAATTTGGGTTCTGAGTGCTTCTTGGAATTACAGTGAATCCCTTTTGTTTCAGAAGAACCAACAAACTCTGGAATGACTTTGTACAGCAAGTGTAAGTATTATTTCTTGAACAACTTCATGCACTATTGCAAAGTGAGTTTCATTGTTCCAGTCAAACATATTAAGACTATATGAAAAGCTAATGTGGAAAAACTGCCAGCACACAGGAATACAAAATACCTTTTGATGCTTGTCATAGGCAGAAGATTATTTATTTAAATTTCTTATACCAAAGTTAGCTCAATGCAGTATGCAGTAAGAATATGTTGGAATCTTTGGTTCTCATATCTATCTACACTTTGCACACCATGTGTAACAGAAATACAGGCAAATTTTTACATTAACAAAAGGGATTTTTCTCAAATAAATATTTGCAGCTACCATTAAACCAAGAGCAAGCTACTGCTACACAACTTAATTGACTATGCTTAATAAAATTTTCAATTATTATTTATAATAATCAGTATGATTTTGATGCTGTAGTTTTTTATTTAAACACTGCACATGTTTCATTCCAATTCCTGGCTTCATCCCACATCTTCGGTTTCTTCAGCTCCATCCGTGGCAAGTGTCCAGTGTCCAAAACCCCACAATTCTCAGTATCAGTGGAGGTATGGATCACTACACCTATCAACAGGCTCATTTTTGTTACACATCTGTGTAAAACAGAGTGCACAGCTCCCAGGATCCCACAACCTGCATGTGGAAAGCCACCAATCTTAAAAAAGAATATCCCGTTATTGCTTCCTTTTCCTATTTAGCTTGGCTGGATGAGGAGCTACCGCCCCAACCTGCAAAAGCAACATCTGGCAGGCCTATAGCAGAGACATCTGCTGACACAGCAGTGTCATTCAGGGTATAAATTTCTGTATTCCTAGGCAAGCAAACCAGCATCCTTTTTGAGACAATGGTTTTAGCTGAGAAGTCACCTTGCTGGGGCATCTCACCAAGTGACAGCAGTAAAAGCACTTCTCCCAAAGACTGATGGATAAACCACACATGTGATAGGGAGATGTGATGGTTTAGTACTGATACTCTTGATAACAGCACATCTTTCCCATCAACGAGAATATGCCAACACTTTTACAGAGGAAGTTTGTATCACCACAACTTCTTTGCCCAGATTAACCCCAGAGCAGCTCTAATGGTGAGAACAAGGTCATGTACTCCAGACAGTTCATGAACAGAAACTCAGCTGCTGCTCTTCTGCATCCCCACTGCACCACAACCACTAAATTTTGTGGTCAACAGTCACCATGATTACTTGCAGCACATAAAGGTGAGCACAAGCAAACCTGTCCCAGCCCAGGATCTGTGGTGTCAGGCCTGTGATCTGCACTGCACAGATGGGCTTCTCCCAGGATGGAATTCCCACAGGAGCAGGGATCTGTCACAGGTAACATTTGCCAGGGCCAGCGTGCAACACCTGAACAATGCCAGCTCACTTCCCAGCTCCCTTTGAAGTCCTGACAAACAATTGTCACTGGTATTTTTTCAGCACAATAGGGATCTTTCCTCCATGAAGTTACTAAATATATACTGCTGGTGTCACAATAGCACAGATCTGCCAGTGTTTCCTTTGAAATCCCTTTCTTCATAAATTTAACTTGACAGAGAAAAACACAAAGTGAAACGTAACTTCTCTCCAGAGTCAGAATTAACATCCATTGTGATTTGTTTTTACTTAACAAGTATCTGTTGAATAAATAAATCAACTGAGGAACTTTTTTGTTCCCATTTTAACTTCCAACAGCCTCATCACCATGGCTTCCCAGGGCATTTGTTGGTTGTTTTTCTTCATAACAACTGCAAATAACTCTACAGAATGTCATCGGGTAAACACTTCATTCAGAAGAAAACCTCTTTACAGTCATGCCTCCACACTGCTGATTTAAAAGTTGCCTAATTACAGTGTAATCTACTTTTGTTACATCTCATGATCTACCTCCTAAATCTACACAAGTCTTTCTACACTTTATACTCAGTAAAACTGGTCTTTTTTGAGCACATATTTACCAAATAAACCACAAAGTCTTCAAAATTCCCTCCTATGCCAAACTGAGCAATCACTTTAAGCTACATGCAAATGCAGCACGGGATCTGAAGCACAGCATAAGCATTTTGTTTCTCCAAAATGTTTTGAAGGCCTCAACGTGCACTTACGCAAACCAATGTTTAAACTACCTGCAATTATTTGGGAGCGTCACCCAATGATGGGAGCACAGAGCCAGCAGCCAGGATGGCTGGATTCCATTGTTGCTAACTCTGTCACTGACACTCCATGACCTTGAGCAAGTTGGTTAACCTCACCTCAATTTGCTGATCTATGAAGGCGCACACATTCTACAAAGTATTTCAGTAGGCGGAAGGTTCCCTTTGAACCCGCAGAGCTGCTCTGATACTTTGCAAAACTGCTACTGTTTACCCCTCCACAGGATGATGAAAAATGTCACCAATAACTTGTGTCCAGGATGCTGTAAAATGAAACAGTCTCAGAGCATTAACTATTAGCATGGATGACCACATGCATAAATCATGCTGACACTGACAGCAAAATTTATTAGGACCACATTATTGTTTTAAATGCTGAAAAGGTGACTAACAAAAGGAAATACTCAAATACAACTAAGAGGCATGAAAAGCCGTGAAAAATTAAGTAACAGCGGTGCACTGCTTCTGATCCATTCTGCTACAGGCTTGCAAGGATCCTAGAGAAGACATTCAAGGGCACGTGTGCTTTAGTCTCCATTTCCCCACTTTAAGTTTGTGTTTAATGCACTAAACTGGCTGATTTTTAAACGTGTGTTTCGCTCATTAGCGTTGCGTGGCCCCAAACCGCCTCGGCTTCACAGAGGGGAGCACTCTTCCCCGGGAGAGCGACGGGAGCAAAGGCGTTCCGAGCCGTGCCTGCAGCCGGCAGGGCACGGCGGTAATTGCACACTCTTAATTGATCCTCTTTGTTCTCCAGCGAGGAGCAGCAGCGATACGGGCAGAGGCAGCTGCGCGATAACGGCGCCTCCCGCAGCCGGCCCGGCCCCGCCGCACCGCCCCCGGTCCGGCCCCGCCGCACCGCCCGCAGCGAGCCCCGGCCCCGCTCCGCCGCCCCTCGCAGCGACCCCCGGCCCCGCAGCCGGCTCCGCACCGCCCGCAGCGAGCCCCGGCCCCGCGGGGAAGCGGCTCCAGACCGGGGCCTCGGAGCGCGGCCGCCGCCCCGCTCCTCGTTCCGGCCCCGCCGCGCTCCCGCAGGGCCTGCGGAGGGCAGGGGCGGCAGGCCCGGCCCGTGGGGCCGCGCGGCCCGGGACGGGCCAGGCCGGGCCGCGGGTGCCGCTCCGCTCGCCCGCCCCGTGCCCGCTGTCGCCCCCCGGCCCGACTCACCCGCCCGGGGCCGCTGGTGCGGGCTGGCGCGGCGCCCCTTTGTCCGCCCGTCACTGCGGGCAGCGCTGGGGCTGCTGGGACCGACCGGCCGCCGCCGCCGCCGCGTCACCGCCCCGCCCGCCGCCCGCCCCCGCCGCCATGTCGGGGCTGCCCCGGCACCCCGGCTCCGGCGCGCTCGGTACGGCGGCGCTCGGCGCTGCTTCCCCCGCCCGGTAGCACCGCCGGCTCCCCGGGCAGCGGCCGGCCCGGCGCCTCTCACCTGCGGGAGGTGTTTTTAATGGTACTGCACCTCATTCCTGAGGTTTGGCCCCGTCCCGGAGGGGTTCCTGCCCCTCTCCCGGCTCCCGCTGCTCTCGGGGCCGCCGTGCGTTCTGCCCTGCGGGCTCGCCCCGATGCCGCCCATCGCGGGCAGGTCCCCGCTGGAAGGGTCGCCCAGAGCCAGAGCAGCAGGGTTTGCGAGCGAACATCCAGGCGTGACCGCCTGCTCACCCAGCAGCACGGCTTAAATGGGACACACTGTCCCTGTAAACACTTCCATGCTCTTACCTTTGTTCTTTATTCCTCTTATTTACTTAATGTGCTTTCATTCAGTTAGGCTCTTTGTGGACTTCAGCTCGTACTGTGCGTTATCCACTATATCATGTGCATTATCCACTATATCATCTTCCCTTGTTTTTTACCCCAACTTCCCCTCTGTATAATACAAACAAATCCATGTGTAATCACCACCCAGTATCATCCCAAACTTCAAGATCTTTAGTACAGAAAAATGTTTTTGTTGCAAGTCAAGTGGATAATTAAGATTTATGTTGAACCACCCAGTACAGGATTGCAAAATCTTTTACCCATTACCAAGCTTTACCCTTCAGTGAAATGAACACAAGTCCGTGGTGAAATAAACACAGCAGCCATGAGTGTTTCACAATAACATAATGAAACAATCCAGAACAGGAAGTAACATATTTAAAATCATGGAAGACATTAAATAAATTCTAAAAAGTATATTTTCCAGCGTAGGCAAGGTGTGCGTACTAGCACTCACCTTTTTCTGCAGATCTAATGGTTCACTAGAAGTTCAGTCTTTCAGCACAAATTACATAATATTGTTACATTATTGTATAGAGAAATCATAATCTTGTCAGAATTTCTGAAAATGTATGCAGTGAAAAGTGGAAAAATATTTTGTTTCTTGATGAGTGTAAATCAGTTCAGATTTTTACATGTTTAAAAATAAACTGGAATTCTTGTTTTTAAAAAGATTATCAGCCTTTCAGAATTTCAGAAAATTATTACGATTTTACTGAGTATTAATCCAATGGAGGGTGCTCCTCATTTTGGAAACCTGTCTCAGGAGAAGCAGCAGACATAAACATGCTTCAGAGATATTCAAATTAATAACAAACAGAATGATCAAATAAAAACATAATCTCAAATGGCTAGACTTAAAAGCACATTAATTAGACAAATTGGTATTTTCCAGTTCATCCAGTTCATTCACAAAGTTCAGACTCTCTAAAAGCAGATATTATGTCTGCCCCTGTAAGCTTCCCAGGATCCAACTTTTTTCTGTCACATTTGATAAGGTTTGCATCCACCTGTTGAAAACTGAGCTGGTCTCCTTCCTCTCTCACCCATGCTGTGAGTTACCTAAAAGCATTGGCTAGACTTCTGTTACATAAAATATTGCCTCCTTATAGCATGAAACCTGACAGTGGAGTGTGCAGAGATGAAATGCTCCTGAATGACTCTATGGTGGTTTTAGTTGCTGTGGTGATCATCCATCTGTTTAAATACTTCATATGGGAGATTCACAAC